TCGTACCCAACCCTAGCCCAACCTTCTGTCTCTGGAGGCTGGTTAATGTTGGACCAAACTGGCAGCTCCCCTTGGATCCTCATGGATGGAGGGAAGTAAATGCTCAATAAATGCAGTAGGTTATAGTATTGGCCACTCAGCAATATTTATTCATTCCCTTGTTTGAGTCTTGAGGTAGAAAACAGACTGAGTTGCCATTTGGAGAGGAGAAACATCAGTGTATGAGCTCAAGGGGACATGGTGTAAAGGTCACTGAGTTCTTTTTAGAACCAAAATGGTGCATACTTATCTCCAAGGTAGAGGTCCTTTGGTTACAAGGAGGCTCAAGGTATTTGCAGATGTTTTATTCTCCTTCACTTAAAACCGTGTTCTTAACCAAGGATGCACCAACGGATTTTTAATGTGGAAGTTATCTCATCTACTTCTGCTTTATAAATCTTGAGGCTTAGGTCCCACCTCCAGGGATTCTGGATCCAATTCATTTGGGTTGGGGACATGCATCAAAGCTTTCCCCCCAAATTTCCAAGGTGAGTCTAATACACACAGAAGAGAAAGCCACTTATTTAACAGGAAAAGCAGTTGCCTGAGGACCTGAGCCTGTTCCAAGAAGACACAAAGACCAGAAAGCCACATAATCCCAGGCCATCAGGGAAGGTATCATTTGCCACGGGCAGGCATTGGCAAGGCTCTGAAGTGCTGTCCTCGCCGGGAGCTGCTGTGCTGAAGCCTTCGATGGGTCTCTTCTGGAGTAAGACCCGTTTTTGACAATTACAAGAAAAACAGCTGAAACTCAGGTGGATCTTGTTAGTGTCAAGTACACTCCTACTGGCTCCAATTTTCTCTGCCCTTTTAATTCATCATGTCCCATTTGAAATGGTATTACAGCGGGTTAGGAGGAACTCTCGAGACCTAAAGTGATAGGCTAACAGGTTAAGTGGCCATTCCTGACACACAGCCAAACTTTAAGGGCAGGAGAAAAGCACACTTGCTGGATTAGCTTACCCGGGGAAGGCCACCCTGGGCTCATTATTTTTCTCACTTTCAAGACAGTTACAGCAACTTCCCTACCTAGACAAGCTGAGAGCAGCACCTTGAATCTGTGCAACATTTTGCAACCTATAAAGCTCCCTCCCAAATAGCTCAGTGGTCCCCAAAGTGTGATAACATGGACCATAGGAGGGATATAAGAGGATTTTAAGTGGTACATGGAGATTTTCAATAGTTATCTTCATGCATATTAGGGAAAACATAATTATCAAGTGAAAACCATGCTTCCACAGATATTATTTCTATAATAGATGGTTGAGTTCCTCCCACCCCTTTTAGTCAGTAGATTTATAGAGGAGCATTTATTTCAGGTAGTGTGTAGATATGGTAAGAAATTATGATGTGTTTTGAGGATGACCAAAGTTTGGGGAACACTGTGTTATTTCCCCCAAGTCACCAAAGAATCCAGGGTAAGTAGGTTATCATTTATTCTTATCTTTATTTTATAGGTTAGGAAATTCGGGCTTTGAGAGCTTAAATAACATAACTCATCCAGGTATTTTTTTTTTCCTTTACAAACTTAAATTCTTGTCTTCTGAATTTAACTTTAGGTTTCTTTTCACTACCTGACTCTTCCACAGAGAGTCAATGTCAGAGCTCTGTTTTTCTAGCAGGTAAGGAAGAACTTCCCAGGGTCACCCACACTCCCTCTATTGTGCCCTTTCAAGATCAGTGATGCACGTGGCTCTGGATATATAACAGAAAGGACTAATTCAGTGGCCCTCTAAGGATGGTTCTTAGGCCAGTAGCTTAAGCATCACCTGAAACTTAGACCAACTCTAGAACTAATGAGTCAGAAATTCTGGGGACGAGGCCCAGAAATCTCTTTTATCAAGCCTATAGGATGATTCTGATGCATACTAACCTTTGGGAACTATACTGTGTTTCTCAATTGGGGGTGATTTTGCCCACTAGGAGACAGTTAGCAGTATCTAGGAATGGTTGTCCCAACTGGCTCAGAGGGTGCTACTGGCATCCAGTGGATAGAAGCCAGAGACGCCACTAAACATCTTACGGGCACAGGATATCCCCCCAAAATGAAGAATTATCCAGCCCAAAATGTCAATGGTGCTAATATTGAGAAACCCGACACCAGACTAATTGATCTTGGCTTGATTAGCATTGTGGTTAGGCCTAAGGGGCTATATTTGAGAGACCAAATGTAGTCTTAAAATTGTGGCTAATGTTGGCCTCCTGTTGACGGAGTAGCATGACTTCCATATGACAGTGCTCAGACATGAATGGCCAGTAGACAAGGATCTTCCCCAGACTGTCTGTGGCCATATTCATGATACCTGAAATGGGTAACACATCGTGGTCAGAGTTGGTGCTGGAGTCCAGCTGGAGAAACCAGAGCAGCCTGAGGCAAATGTATGGGACTTGTGTTTGGTGCACCCTATTTCGTCTCTATTAGCACCTCTTCTTCAAACTGTCTCTGGATGCTAATATTCCCCCCACCCCCTGAAAAGAATTCATAGTAAGATCCCTGTTAAAGAGACAGTATATTGTAATGGTCAACTGTAGCATTTGGAGTTCAAATCCCAGCTTCACCATTTCTTGGCTGTGCGACTGTAGGCAAAATCCTCACTTTCCTGAGCCTCGGTTGCCTTGTCTGCAAAATAAGGGTGAAAATAATAGTAATACTTTCCTCTTAGCATTGTTATGAGGCTCAAATTGGACTATTCATGTAACACTCTTAGATCAGTGCCAGGCCCAAAGAAAATGCTTACTGCATGCTAACTATAATTATCAATTCTCTGTACTGTCCCTTTAAGTCTTACATCTTTAAAATGGCAAATCTATTCCTTTTGTGCTCAGTAAGAATGCTTGATGCCCACCTCTTTGAGCTCATTCTAAATCTGGTCTTATCGCTCCACCTCAGATCTGAAATTGGATGCTGCCCAGCCAGACCACTTTTCTCTCTCCTCTCTCCTCTCGTTCCTCCCCTCTAATATGACAGGCGATGAATTGCATCATACACCCCTGCTTCTTTGACTTTACCCTTGGCCCTGGGAGGCTGTTGTTGTCCCCAATGGGGATGGGACAGGTGCCTGGCGGTACACTAGCTGACCTAAATCTCAAGGAATGCGTTTTGAATGATGGGTATTAGCATCAGGGAAGATGCTTTCACACAAAGGATGGCTTCACCCACCTAGGCAGGCTTTCATAAGGTCAGCCTAGCCCAGGTTAATATGGTTTTCAAAATAATAAAGAGGGAAAATCAAAATCTGTCTGCTTTCATTAAATCCAGTCCTTGCCTGCATATTAGAATGTGTTTAAAACAGCACAATGTAGAAGGATGGCTGGCCTCCAGGTCAAGCTAGGTACAAGGAAGGGGCTGGGGCTCCTCATTAATGGTCCAGAAAGCAAACAAGGTCAACAACATCATTAATAGGAGAGCATCTCCACTTTGTCTTTAGATGATCAAAGCCCTGAGGGAGGGGCTGCTGGAGAAGCTCTGCACATCTCATTAGAATGAAAACTATTCAAGGTTCTTTTCCTTCTGCATAACCTCAGAAATATACCAAAGGCCTCTCAGTACACTCCCAGCTCACACCATCTACCCGATGCAAAAGCCTCTTTGAGTCTTTGCATCTGAGCAATGCAATGGAAGATCTCCAAGTCAAAACAGAGAAAAAGAATGGAAAAACCTCACACAGATACCTATAGCCCTCCTGCTGATAGTGCCCTCATCCTAAATGGAATTATTGGAGAGCAGTTTGAACAGTCTTTGGATTCCAAGGCTAGGCGAGGCGAGAGACTGGTGATTCAAACATTAGGGGAGCTCCTGTCGGGTTTGTTGTTTCAGATTTATGTTCCTGGGCCACAGAGTATCTCCCAGGGTATACGTGGGCTTCATGCAAAAATAATAAAGTCAACAGCTAGCCTCCTTCCTTCGGAGGGAGTTATTTCTTGAGTGTTTGTATGAGCCATCCTAGGAGGAGAGCAATGATAGATGGAGACTTCTATTTCAAAGGTTTGTTTAGTTTTCCAGGAAGAAGCAATATTTTGGTGACTCACACTAACAGCAGTTGTAGGAGGAATCTGCTAAGGTTAAGAGCATGAAACATAAGGAACACAAGGAGGTTAAATGGCTGACAGTAGAATATACTGAGCCCTACGCCGAGCACAAGGGCAGTGATTCTGAACCTTGGCTGTGCGTTAGGATTATCCTCGGCATTCAAAAGCGATCTAATAAAAAAGTGCAGTTCAATGCCAAACCCCAGACTAAACCAGAACTTCTNCAAAAGCGATCTAATAAAAAAGTGCAGTTCAATGCCAAACCCCAGACTAATTAAACCAGAACTTCCNGCAGTTCAATGCCAAACCCCAGACTAAACCAGAACTTCTGGGGATTCTCCTCGGCATCCATAGGTTTTAAAGCTTCTCAGGTGATTTCAGTGTGAAGAACCGCCGACCTAAATAGACGGACTTGAATGGGACATAATTTGCTCCCTTTAGAAAGTAGCCAGAGGAAACCAGGTAAATAAGCATATGGGATACAGGATATTAGATGTGCTAATGGGACTGTGTACAAAGTATAGGGGTTTTGGAGAGAAAGAATGACTAATTTCCCTTGGGAGAATCAGGGAATACTTCACGGAAGAGTAGATGTCAGACAAATATTGAAAAAGAGAATTTTACCAACTTGGCAGGTGGGGAAGAAGGCTGAAGGAAGGAAGGACGCCTGCTCTGCGTGCAAGTAGAATAAAGCCAAGATGCCGGAGGTTTCTGACCCGTAGCTATCAGATATGGAACAATTTGTACAGAATGGTCACACCCAACCCGAAAGCTGTTCTTGACTGATGTGGCATCAGCGGCTAGAAAAATCTTCTTTTCTCCTCGCTGGAGCTCATAGTTGCAGCTGAGAGGGCAGTGCATTTGCAAAGATGCCCTCCCCAGATTAAGAGGCGACAGAGAGGACATTGAATGACATCCAACCTGTTGTGCCATTAGTATCTTTTGAAGCATTTGTTGGCATTTAATGAGCTCCATGTGGCTTCAAACCAGGACACCAGGCTCCTCCACTTGCTCTCATTGGCTCTTCTGCTGAAAAATTTGATCTTCAGGACAGGTGATTTTAGGAGCTCTCCCTTCCCCAGAACATTTTCCCAACCGGATTGCACCACATCAATGATGGGGGCATCTCTAGTTCTGTTTTGGGGAGCATTTACCTGTATCTGCTCACTGACCAAGATCCATAATTTATTGACGCTGACAGTTGGGCAGAAGTTCTGGTTCCCCTTGTAGTGGTAACGCCTCATACTAACCTCGCCAAAGTCACCTGGGTGCTTTCTGTCCAAGTTGATCCTTCTGGTTTCCCGGTGCCTCTGGTACTTGCTCATGTGGCCATCCTCGTGGCTCATGTGGCCAGGATGTTTCTGGGTCTCCCTTATCTCCTTTTTTGTGGTAAATCATGTTCTTCCAATACAGTCTTAGATATGAAGGAAGAAAGATGCCACCTTGGGAAGGGGAAGGGTGCAGAATAAGGACCGTCATTGTGAGAGGGAAAGAAGTAGCTGAGGGCTGTTCCTGCTGTTTCGGATGTGGTGGGAGCAAACAAGTTAGCAGCTCAGTGACACAGGTGGCAAAACAGGAGTATCTTTCTCAGCCTCTCGGGGCTAAAGTGCAAGGAGAGGAAAGCTTCTGGGTAGATTTAGGACAAAGCTGAAAGCGGAGGTGGGTTTTTCTTTTCCTGCTTCCTAATTGCTATCCAAGAGGAGAGGGATTTATTTATATGATGTCCCCAACATCAACACGGGGTGTCTGCCTCAGAGCCAAGTCAGAGGCACGCTGTGGTTAGGGGAAGAACTAGTCTGAGATAACATCTTAAGCACCCTTGGCTCTTATGGGGACTGGAAAAAGCTAGATTTTTTAAAAAATTATTGAGGGGCCTGGATGTTAGCTGAGAAAGACTAGGGAGCTTGCCTTAGGGGTTGCTCTTCCACAGGCAAAGTGACCTATGGCAGGGTGCTGCAGGGCGGGCCACCTGGCCTGAGACTGAAGGGGACTGATCACCCTCAGAGGGAAGTGCAGCTTGAGGGGGAGGGGGAGAGACACAGGGCAGGCCCTGTCTGGAGCGGGAGAGCACAGAGGTCAAGTTCACCAGTCATTGGCCTCCGGGTCATCTGCTGCCAAGCAGGGGGCCCAGGAACCAGGCAGCAAGGGTTATCGCCCTTTCTGGAGTCTGGAGAAGCCTGGATTCTGTGGAAGGTTCTAGATGGTGGATCTGAGGCGAGAGGGAGAGAATTGGAAACACTGGGAAGAAAAAAGCCGAGTGATCTTAAGGCACTGTGAGATTACATCAGGCTGAGCTAACTTGATGAAACTAAATTTGGGTTTTTCCCACTGCCTCTTACGATGAGAATTTGTGAGGATTAACGGGTTAATTCAAGAAATAGAAATGGTGCATTTTCTTTAAAATCTGAGTATGATGTATGCATTTCCAGGACTGCCTCAACAAACCACCACAAATTGGGTGGCTTAAAATATAGGAGTTTATACTCTCAAGGGCAAGGAGGCCAGAAATCTGACATCAAGGAGTCAGAGGCTTGGTTCCTCTGGAGCCTCCAGGGGAGCCCCGGTGGCTGCCAGCAACCCTAGGTGTTCCTTGATGTCTAGACTTTCTCCAACAATACGGCTTCAATCCTGTGAGCATGTTCCCCAAACTTGTTCTTCTCTGCTTCTAAGTAAAGGGTGATTCCTGAACCTTCATTCTGCCTCTGCTAGTATTTGTTGAGAAAGGGAAGATTCCTGCCTCTGTGCAAACACGAAGGACATTGACTCCCAGCCTTGCTTGGCTGGGAGAGGGCAAAGCTCTCCTGAGCTTCGATTAGCTGTGCTGTTTATCTGCTTTCAGGATTAGCCTGGACAAGACACACCTTTTGCAGGAGGGAATGTCATGCAGAATTTTGGAAGGCTATTAATCAGCCTGCCATGTAACTAGGAAATAAAATAGGTCCTAGGCAAATGATGGGGGGAAAAAAGTTATCAGTCAGTTTGTGGATTGTGCCTCATCTGTGATATAACAATTGTTACTTTTTATGGCTTGTTTTTGCTGTATGCTTGCTACAGAGGAGTAAGCTAGGCAGCCTTGTTCAAATATTTTGGACCTGCAAACTAAATTTACTATAGTGACCAGGTGCCACAACCGCTCGCAAAGCCCTAGAAACCTGCATTTTCCCTGGAACAATTGCATTGCAACTCCAGATCTAAATGTCAAAATCAGACCCCTCCTCCATCTCCAACTCCACCTGTTTACTGTAACCCATCTCTAACACTCCTTTTACCTTTGCTTACAGACAATGAAACACAAGGCCATGGCCATGAAGTTGAATAGACCCAGCAGTACACTTAGTTGTGTGTTTTGGACAAGTCTTCTGGGTCCTGGCTGAATGCTAAAATTATCCAGGGAGCCTAAAAACCCTAATACCAAGCCCCACCCCAAACCAATGATCACAATATTTAGGGGTGGGGCCCAGGCACCAATCAATATTTCTTAAAACTCCCCAGACAATTACAATGCACATCTACATTTCAGAACCAGTGGCCTTGGATAAGTCATTTGTCTTTCTGAGTCTCAGGTTGCTCTTCTACAAATGGAGGTAACTTCTAGTCTCACGGAGTTTTTGTGAGGATTAAATGACAATGTGTGAGACATGCCTACTATAGTGCCTGGAATGTAGTGATCTTTCAGTATATGACAGTTATTATTTTTTATTATTTTTGTTTTTCTCAAATGGTCTCTTAAGTTTTTTTTTCAAAAGAAGATGGTAACTTCTTCTCTAGAGACTAACACATTTTGCCCATAATTAACTAATTCATTAGGGTGTCTCTGTATTAAGTACTATAGGGAAGTGGGTTTAAAAATAGAGAAGACAAGGCTTCTTATCTCAAAGAGTTCTACACATAATGGGGAAAGATGAAGTAATGTCCATAGCTCTAATATGAAGTGTGCTCTACAATAATCATGTTAATATAAGTAGCCATGACATGCGATGGAGGAGAGCACAGTTAATTGTGCTTGGGTACTTGGAAGACTTCTTAGAGAAAGTAGAGCCTGAACTAACTGGACTTTGCAGAATGAGTGAATCTGAGATGAACATCTCAGTGGCAGACAAAGAGCATGCAGGGAGAAAGAACAAGTTACAAAGACAAAAAGGATGAAGAATATTGATTTCCGCCCCCC